CCTCTATTACACAAACCCCTCCTTAGAAAATTTTTAAGCCTGTTAAATAAAAAAGATCTTGTTTATTGGTGTATGCAAACAGAATGAAGCATTGAGTCAAACTGGGATGATTTTTTTCTGCCATGTAAGCACACTTCTGCAGAGTCATGCTCCTCTTGCAGTTCACCCTGCACTGAGGGACTGCAGATCTAGTCAGACATGAAAAGGTAATGTGTTGTGGGTTTCTCTTTTCCCTGCCTCCCTACCTGTACCCTCAAAGGACAACTCAGGAAAACCAGTGTATATGCAGGGTCCAAGAAACTGCTTCTATTTCAATAAGTAGCTCACATTATGCATGCCTTCTGTCAGATGAACACAGATCCCTCTTCCAAAAATGATATAGAAGCATCTGAGCAGGGGGATGGAAACTGTGACGTAAGAGGCAGCCAGTGGAAAGACATATGGAGGCAGAGAAATCAGAAAGATATCAGCAGTTGGCAAATCTCCTCTTACATTTCACATTCATATGCTCACCACATTTAGACACAAAGACAGTATCTAATACTCCAGCACCAGAAGAGAAGCTGTTTCCAGCATTCTCCAAAGAAGCACATGCTATTATAGACATAGCCCTGTGCAGCACAATAATCCTACATTGCTCATCTGAATTTTGTATTTAAGCCAGACAGTGACACACTGGACTGTAGTGAAACCACACTACACATTACTATTACACCATCATGCAAGTATGAATTGTCAGCTCATATTTATACATTGCCTTTGTGTCCTGGGAAATGAGCAGAGCAACAAGTTTTAGTGATACTTGACTGTCATCAAGAAATGTTCTTCTGAAATTGAAAAATAATTGTTGAGGACAAAGAAAACTCATTCCTGGAGCATCTTGCTGTATTCACTCTAGTCAAAGTTCTCAAAGTTTTTCCTGTTTTTTAGTCTGTCTGGGTTTAGGGTTTGTTTTAGGGGGTGGTTGGTTGGGGGTTTATTTAATTTCTTTTTGTGGGGTTTGGTTTTTTGTTTGTTTTTTTTTTTTTGGTTTTGGTTTTTTTTTTTTGAGAGAGGGATTGAGGATTTTCTCTTTTTTGTTTGTTTAGGGTTTTTTTGGTGGGGTGGGAAAGGTGTGTGCAGGGTAATGTAACAGGACATTTTCACCTGAATTACTGCAATATGCCCAATGAAGAGAGTCAAGAACTACTGCTCCTATGCCACAAAACACGTAATGTAACCTGCTTCTACCAAACCCTCCCTGTGGTGCTTATGCCTTTTTGCCCAGAGAGCAAAAAAAAAAAAGTCATTTCCTTCAATGGCAACAAAAGAGCTGAGAGCACATACTCCCAGTTATCACTCTGAATGCTGTACTTGGACTGGTAATCTTAAAAAAAAGAAAGGCAAAACATATTTCATCCTGGTTTCTCTTTTAGCATCAGTAGTCTTGGGATGGGTTAGAGTTTGCAGCAGGACAGGGCAGAATGTTACCTCTGACTGCCCCCCAACAAGCTGCCACAAGGAAATGAAAGTTTGCTGCACAAATTTCATCTGATACTGCACAAAGTTCTATTAAACTTCACAATCTGCCCAGACTTACAAGTTATAGATCAAATATTATTTTGGACAGAGCTCGAGTCTGTACTTAATTATCCAGCTTAATATGATCTGCTGCTGCTGAAGGTCAGTAAATGCAGAGCTTTTCTCCCTTCCATCCCTCAAGATTTTTTTTTTTTTTTTGAAGGAACATATTGGGACATCCCAGGTAACAAGTCCTTGACAATGAGTTCCCAAATGTGACAGCAAAAAGCCAAGCTCTCACTGCAGCCTATTAACCCTATTAAGTAAACTCATGGGTAATTATCAGCCATGAAGTGTTGAGCTCTCTGTTTGTTGGACACAGAATTTCTTAAGCATCCATTAAGAAGCTATTAAGACACATGCAGACACTTGAGTACAGCAGGAACAAATTAACTGCTTTGATATATTTTGTGATTGTTGTTGAGTCTTCAAAGAAAAGGCAATCTTGAAAGATAACTTTTCCATCTTAATTTGTTAGGATCCTCTTGGGGAGGAACAGCAGCTCTAGGTATGTATTATGCAAACATTATTTCCATGCTGTTGCTTGTGCAGCATGTCAGAATTATTGTAAGCAATTGCTACCCTCATATTCAAACAAAATTAACATGGCACAAACATCTTACAGCTATTGTAATTTTCTATGGCTGAAGTGCTCTTGTGCCAGTTCAGGCAGGTCAGAGATGCTCAAAGAATAGAAAGCTTTTTTGCAGGTCAGCTATCTGCACTTCAGATGTGATGCCAACACACAAGAGAATAGCAAGAGCAGAAAAGGAAATGCAGAGCACTTGCTAGATGAGATACTCTGGGGAACAAATAAATGGACATTTTCAAAATGTCAGGCTTGCTTCTGTAGCAGTTCCAACAAGGCCATAACTTAGAAGCATTCATAGGAAAAGAAAATATTACCTAATGCTAAAAAATAAGTACTTGTAATATATTTGTGGAATACACCTTCAGCATATATTTAGGCTCACACCTTCTTTAGAAACTGCTTTGAGTTTTGTTCAGTCACTGAAAAGAGAAACCATGCTTTACTTAATTAACTGCTCAAACGATCTATAAAGAAGGTATTTGCAGGAGTTATTTTGTCTTTATTATGGATTTTTAGGAAGCAGTAATTCACTTTTCTATATCAAGAAGGAGGCAGAAGAGAGAGTACATAAAGCTATAACTACTATTAATTGCAGAGTAAGGCACAATATCTTTAAGAGTTATGGAAACTGTCCCATCTCCTTTATTCCTTTTGCATCTGACTATCAAGTTTAAGAGAAAGAGTAATTGAACCATTCCATCAAAACCCTGGTGTGGATTAAACCCTTGCCAAGAATGAGCTAGCACTGATTACTTATAAGAGCTAGCAGTTTGAGAGCTGGTTTAGAGGCATAGAATAAGCCCAGAACCTCAGAAGCTGGGCCTTGAATGAGCAGACAGCTGTGCCACCAGCATGAAGGAGACAAAAGCATCTGATCAGTAGCTTCAGAAGCAATTCAAATAGATCAAGAAGAGACATCAACTGTAGTTGATCTATTTAAATTCATGAGATCATATTTGGAAACGTGGAAGAGAGCTGCAGGAATAATACATCTCTTTGAATTAAGTCTTGCAGAAAATTTATCTTTTGATAGTCTGTCTTAAAATCTCAAGCCAGACTGACACCATTAGATGCAACATCAATAAAAAGAATAAAGAACACAAAAACTAATGATTAATAAAAGAGCTCTGAAAAAAACACTCTGGGTTGGAAGAGGGCTGTTTTTTTAGAATTAGACACTATGGCAACAAGAATCTTTAGTTACAGCTTGTATACATATATATCCAGACACTGTATGTGTGTATATATACATATATTTTTGTAACCTAAACATGAATTTTACTTATACAGGCTACTGATATGCGTCATCATAAGAGTATAAATCAGATCACTCCCTCCTTAACTGTGAATACCCTTTACACTGCAAACCCATAAGTTCTTTTCAGCACTAAAAGGATCCCAAAAAGCAAGGACAGATTATCTAACATAGAACAGCAAGGATTTATCGCTGTTAGCTGTCCGCAGAGGATCCACAAATCCACTCTGCAGATCAGAGCAAGCACCTTAAGGAAGCAATTTTCCCCTCACAATATCGCCCTTTTGGCTTCCCAGATTAAGATATCTCCCAAGGCCATGCTTTTATTTAAGCAGCTAGAAAGCCTGAAGAAAGTCACAGCAGACTTGCTGCATAGCTAAGCGGAAGAGAGGCAAATTGGATTGAAGACAGTTGCTCCATAGGTGAAAAGGAGCACCAGCCACAGAGAGGCACTGGGGCAGCAAGACAGAGCAGGCAGCCAGCAGGGCACAAGGGCAAAGTGATGACCCCTTTTCACTGCATCTTACCCAAGCAGAGCTCCCCAGCCCCTCAGCAATGTTGTGTAGAGCCACAAGACATCCCTCCCTCGGTGATGGAACGCTCTCAGGTCAGGCTACCATCCCTCAGGCACACTACTAAGCACTCGCAGGGCAAGGTAGACCTGCATTACCAGGGCTCATCTGCACTTCTTGGGCAAACAAAACAGAAGATTTACACTTCAAAGCTATTGACCTGGCATTGTTCCAATAAAAACCAGGTTCCTATCCAAGCGGTTCTCAAAATCACATGCCAGACCCAAAAAAGCTGAGAGAAACTTTACTGTCCTGTTTCTGTGAAGAGCATCATGACAGCAAACACTAATGCATAAACAAAAATAATATACACAAGTCACAAAGAAGTGGGACACTTTTGTCATTAACTATTCCCAGTGGTGGCAGCTGATTAGGCCTATAGACACTTGGTAACTACCTTGGATTTAGGTTATTATTCAAGGTGCATGTCTTTGAGGGCCTATTAAGGGCAATACAAGAATCACTCAGAATTTGCTCCTCTTTAGCTTTCCAATCACTTTAGCATCACAAATAGACACAGCCAAAAAAAATATCTGAGAACAGAGATTTAAAATAGGATCTGTATAAACAATTCATAACTCAAATTCATGGCAGACTGCTACCTCCTGCTACATAAGCCAGCACTAATGGACATCACTACAATAATTTTATACCTCAAGCAACTCATTTCAAAGGGAGATCCCCTTAGAAGTAAAAATGGGGTCATAAGGTACAGTACAGAACCATAATAAAAAGCCACAAAGCAAACATGCTGAGCAATTAGATTTTTCTGCCTATAATGGCTGCATTTTTGCCCTCATTAATATCAAAGTAGCTCAGACCACACCATCCCCTTTCCTCTCTCCCAACCCACAAAATCCTATTACTCTTAACTGTTTTCAAGAACATCAACAGAAGGTCTAACTTGCCACTTCTCTGCACACAGCACATTTGCTTAACCAAATACACTTCTTCAAACTACAACACTATAACCGTGAAAACAGTTATGAAGTAATATTTAACCATCCATTAATTTACCTACCTGTTCAAAACAATACCATCAGCTTACATGGAAGTCCCTCAAAGTGCTTTAGTCAGCAACAATTATGACACCAGACATAAATCTTTTAACAAAAACTTTCACTACCTATAGATAGAAAGGAGAGAGCACTGGGATGGGGTTTTATACCAAATCCAATTCACATGACTGAGGCTTTCTCATGAGTGTGACTCATCTGCACCTGTGATGAATAAAGTGCTTTAAGCTGAAGCTGAGCTACTTGCTGCAAGTCCCTGCTTATCAGATAGAATTGGGAAGGCAGCAGAGCAAATATTGATACAGCAGAAATACCCAATATTTCCTCAATAGATTTACTGCTTTGGCCTGTTTTCTTACACAAAATACCTGATGTTCTTGGTCACTTTCAGGTAATTCTTAGTGAATAGATGACTAGGGCTGGTTGTGACCTACTTGTAAAAAGCTTCTCCTTTACTGTGCTTTCTTCCTTTTTTGTCATTGCTCTGCATGGGCTTTGAAATTGGCTCAGAATACGCTCTTGGTGGCATTTAGAGATGTAGTTAAGTTAAGGTGTGTGTGGTAAAGCTTTGTAGGCAATGTGGCTTCTTCAGTATGTTGCTTTTAAAGGAAAGGATCGAACTTACTTGAGCTGAGACATTTCCAGCATTTTTAAATTAATAAATTGACTACTATTCAATATGTGCCCCTAAGCAAGCAATATAATTAGATGAGCTGTGAGTATTTCAATAAAAAATTCTTAGAAGAATAGTCTGACCTTTGGGAAGGCAAGAAAGCTAAAGCAGCTATTACACAACTTGCTGGTACTACCAAACATACTTTTCTCAAATCATGCTTCAAAGGGAGAATGCAGATTACATTGCAGATTCTACTGAGTCCTGTACTAAAATCTCTATTGATAACTCTCTCCTGATTATGTTAGGGCCTCTGTGTTTTTTTAATCATAAAATATTACATTGCATGTCATTGGATCACAATAACTGATGTCTTTACACAGTGCTGACAAGTATTTTGTGAAAAAATATGTCATTCAAGGTTAGCTATGGGTCAACTGAAAGATGGATTGACCAGTAAAACAGGAAAATCCTGAAATCTTCTTACACATTATCCAGAAAATGAGGCTACTTTCTTTTCTTAAGGAAGTCCAGTTACCGACAGAATTTATCTGTATCTGTGGACTCAGGTGATTTATGCAGGTCGGAGCTGGGTTGTTTTCTTGTCATCCTGATCCCTTCACCAGCTTTCCCTGTGGTCGTGGAGAAGTTGCTGCATCCCACAGCACCCTACTCCTTGCCAGAGACCGGATAAGGACTAGATGACCCATGTAATGTTCAGCCCAGGGACTGGTGGTATAAACCCTACATGGTGAAGTAAATTTGATGGGAGTAGTTCCTCATGCAAGGGAACACTGGACCCTCATTGCTGGACCTGAGATGAAGCTCCTGCTGTTTGTAGTGTGGCTGGCATGACCTAAGCCACAGCATCCTCCCCTGGTTCCTCTTGGGGCAGAGTGGGGAACCTTCACCAGCCTGGGGCCATCCATGAGCTGTAGCTGGAATGGTTCATTGTGCAAGTCAGAAGCATCACTTCTTGTCAGTGCTATCCAGGGTTATTCAGATAGGCATTTTCTTTAGTGTTATTGCTTTGTTTGACTATTATTTTTTTATTGACTTTGTAGACAAATGAGAATTTGGAGCAAACAAAAGTTCATATCTGCCTCTCATCACAGCCCTGCTATTTGGGCTTCTGTAGGAGCACACTAATGAAATTTGGTGCCTGCTGCATGGGCAGAAGGCACTCACTGTTTCAAGGGGCAAGAAGGGACAGCCTGGTGGGCAGTGAGAGCCAGTGATGTCCTGTGACAAGTTTCTGTGTCAGAAATAGCCAACAATTTTCAAATGTTCCCAAGAAAGAAAGAGCATATTCCAAAGGCTTGTATTAATTGTTACTTTTTACTTTATTAATTTTCTTTTGTCCTATGATAAACATATTCTTCATTTTGGACTAAATCTGCAATAAAATATTTTTATGGTTATCTAAATGGGTTGCTTCAGATTTTAATCACTCACTGAAGACTCATCCTTTCTCTGTTTTCAATGCTGCCACTTGAACAGCTGAAGCTGACTCAATTACATTTTCAGAAAGGTAGTTTTAAAAAAAGGAACAGTATTGGAATAAAGTGCTTCTATTTCTCTGTGGTTTAGTTTAAATTAACTATGCAGGTGTCCTCCAGAAAACTATAATTATTAGCTGTTTTGTTGTTCTGTCTTGAAAATATCAGAACAATCCTTGCCCAGAGAGACTGTTTTGATAGAAATCACTTCCTTTTGTGTGGAGATTGCATGACCTTTAAAGATTTTATACCCTTCTTTACCATTTACAGATGCTGTGGTGTACATTTAATCTCAGGGATGTTAACCTTACTAAATTTTGAAGTGTGAAAATCTTCTGTTTACACACTGGTTCCTCCTCAAAGGAAATCTCAAGGTTTTTGCTCATCTGGTGCCTGAGCTGACATTTTTCTGTCCAAATCAGCCTCTGATGGGTTCCAGCTAGGATGATTATCAGTATTTTTACTTAGGTGATCCCCAGCTACTCATCTTAGTGCTGACAATGGCCTAATGGCAGATGGGCAATTTTCTGGGACTCCCCAGTCTCTCTTACTGCATTGTACTGGGGATAGGCTTGATTACTTCTCCACCAGCAGACACAGGGCAGGACATGCTTGGTGGCCTAAGCTTAGGGATTTCTGTGGGTAGAACATGTGGTTTTGGGCACAGACCTGGACTTTGGGCTGCACCAGGTGCACAGCATGAATCAGCCATTGCAGTGTGCCCTATGGAGCACGTTGCAGGGATGGGGATGTTGATGCTGAATCTCCCACGTATTTTCCCACCAAGCACTTGTGCAGGATGTGTAAAAGTGTAATCAAATTAGATATCTCCTACCTATAGCTGATCTTGATTTAAGCATCTGTGCAAGGAAGGACAGGGTTTTTACATATTTTTTAGCTTCTAGAAGTGGTAAAGGCCTACAAAATTAAATACACAGGGGATGTATACAAAGCTAATGTAATTGCCAAGAAACAGTTAGGAAAAAAATTCCTAGCCCTCATTCCTTCACTCAAAAGCATATTCATTTCTTAATTACAATTTTGTGAGATTATCCTTTAAGAAGCAGCTGGATTGAAACTGCCAGCCAGTAATACCTGGTATATTTTCCTTTCTACTGTGAGTCCATGCTCACAGTAAATCTTAACAGCATATTTTCTTGGAGCATAGTTCTTTGCTTTTGCTAATTGGAGGGAAACCTTCATATATATATATATATGAAACATAGAAGATCCTTGAAGTCTGCCATCTGGGTACTAAGAGCCAAAAATCACATAGGATATCTAATAGTTAATTTTTCTTTAATGGTCTGTCTCTAGGAATATCATTCTCCGATTTTCTCCAGCTCCTAAAGAATAATTTGGCTGCCTGTGCAAGCTCAATTTGAGTGTGATTCCACAGCTGCAGAAACCCATTGATGTGTGGTAGTGAGCAAATCACTGCATTTTTTTCAAGGCTCAGCTGTTTAAAATATACTGAATGCAAAATCACTGGTAAGTTACAATGTGTTTTAATTACTCTAATTAAAGCTTCTGTAGTATGGCACAGTCCATGATATTTCATTGCAAATTATAGCTCATGTACCTACCATGGCAAGCAGGCGTTTTCCCGCATCTCTTTATTCAAATACTAGGAAGAATGGGAAGAAACAAACTTTTCAAGCTAAATTGCAGACTAACTAGCTGAAGTCTTTTGACATATTTTTTAGCACCTCTACAATGAGAAAAACATTTAAATTATGGGTCTGAAGAGTTTCATCTGATGGTAGGAGAATAAGAAATCCTTCCTTAGGCTTTGGTCTGGTTCTATTTTTATCAAGTTGACTACACCATACAAAAGGGTGCACTTAATATTGCTCACCACACTGTGTACCATAATGTGCAGATTGCAAGTCTTTCTGCTGCAGACAGGAACTCATCACACTCATTAATGGCAAGTGGATGTCAAACTAGTTTGGGAAATATTTATTTGGGGATTTTGCATCAAGACGAAGATGGAGAATCTTAGAAAATGCTTTTCTGGCTTCACTGGATACTTGTTATGGATTTCTGGAGTGCTCCTTCCATGTTTCCTGCTACAGCTTGAATTGCTTTTCCTGTCTCAGCATGGCCAAAGACAGGCCTTTGTAACTTAATGGTTTTTTTCAGAGAAATTCCAAGTAAATGTCAACAGTGGTTTCCATCCAGCCTGGTTACAGTCACCCAGACTGGGTATGGAATTCCACATTGCTGCTGGATTTGATCAAGTACAGCAACTGAGCAAAACTGGGTGCCTGAAAGAAGCCTCAGAGCCCCAGGGGATACTGCCCTGAAAGGCAGAGGAGCTTAAAAGAGCTGGTTGACCTTCCCAAGCAACCTTCTTAACGGGTAGGGAAGCTGAGTTTCTGTGCTCAGGAAAATGAACATGTGTCAGGATGCCAGCTTGGCTGAGCATGTAACTCCCAATGAGCTCAAGCCACAAGAGGTGGAGGCAGGGACAGACAATCCACTGACAATGTAGAGTAATCTGTATTCCTGTATCAGGAATAGTGTGGAAAGTAGGAGCAGGGAGGTCATCCTTCCCCTATGCTGGGCACCAGTGAGGCTGCACCTTGAGTGCTGTGTCCAGTTCTGGGCCCTCAGTTTGGGAAGGAAGTTGAGATGCTTGAGTGCATCCAGAGGAGGGCAACAAGGCTGGTGAGGGGCTTGGAACACAAACCCTGTGAGGAACAACTGAGGGAGCTGGGGGTGTTTAGCCTGGAGAAAAGGAGACTCAGAGGTGACCTTATCACTCTCTACACAACTCCCTGAAAGGAGGCTGTAGCCAGGTGGGGGTTGGTCTCTTTCTCCAGGCAGCAAGTGACAGAATGAGAGGACACAGTCTCAAGCTGGGTCAAGGGAAATATAGTTGGATATTAGGGAAAGGTTTTCCACAGCAAGTGTGATAAAGTTCTGGAATGGCCTGCCCAGGGAGGTGGTGGAGTCACCATCCCTGGATGGGTTCAAAAAAATATTGGATGTGGTGCTTGGTGC